TGTATATTGTTTTTACGAACGCAGAAAGCTTTGAATTTTTTTTAGAAAGTTTAAAATTTGAGTTTACCTGATAACCTATGAACGTCAGGTTTTGTCCTTCTAAAGTCCAGGGCGCATCGATCATCCGGTCCAATCCGCTCCCCTTCTGCTGGTCTGATATTTGAGACTGAAACTGAGAACTGGTTCCCAGACACAACGATGAGCCCAAGACAGAAACACAACCCGTTACGAAAATAGTGACAACATGAAAAAGACTAAATCACCTTAAGATGACAGAGCGTTACCTGACAGAAGCCTCAACCGATGGATGGGAGCTGCTGGTTCCGTTTGAAAGCTCCTGCTCTTCATTAGGCTGACATTGATTCAGGAAAAGCCAACAAGGGTTCACAGAGGATAGCTTACATCTAATTATACTTCAATGCAGTTCTTCTATCAGTCAATCTACAAAATCTTGGGCATTGTTGCATAAACCTTTTTTCGAATACCTTCTCTAAAATAAAAAATGTACAACTGCCTCTTTAGAGACAAAGCATCAAAATATACAACATAGAGGTACAAAAAAAACCTATGCTAAAGTTAAAAACTAGGCAAAAGAAGGTCGAATAACAAGAAATAGGAGGAAAAAAAAAAAAACACTTTTTTGTTGTGCAAAGTGACGTTCAGGTGTGACAGGAGGAACGGTGCCAAAAAAAGTTTCCTTTTGAGCAATAAGCATATTAGTGCTATAAACAATAATATCCATCCATCCATCCATTATCTTACACGCTTGTCCCAATTGGGGTCGCGAGTGGTGCTGGTGCCTATCTCCAGCAGTCTATGGGCGAGAGGCGGGGTTAAACAATAATATTTTTCCTTTAAATTGAATATAAATAACCTTTATAATCAACTGATTTCATTTTTCAAACCATCAGCATACATAGCCAAGTTAATAAATTGATCCATTTAGTTACATTTTTTAAGTTATTATTGAAAACGTCCCTAAAAAGGGCAGTTTTTATTTTTAATTAATCAAATATTGGCTAAGATTATATACCAATTATTTCTAATTATTTTTTTTCCTGTCTTACAACCACTGACACTCATCCTTTCTCACTAAAGTTAGACTGCAACACTGTCCCACCTCTACAGTGGAATTTCAAAGCAGCTTTTAAGACCCCAACTAGATTAATATTTGTGCAAATTAAACTTCAAAAAGGATCTCTGGCTCAATGCTGTTTTCCTACAGGGAAGGGATATTTGGTCTTACACAAAAAAAAAAACAAAAAAAAAACAACTGAGGCCACAGTGATGGATACTGCCATTGCATCCTCGGAAAACAAACCTCTAAAAGAGACTGAAAGACCTCCTGGCGGTGCTTTTCCTGAGCCCGGATAACATCAGCTTGCTGCAATAAAAAGAAGGATGACAAAACCACCTTTAGTATTCAGTGCAAATGTCTCACTCTTTATTACCCATCAATATAGTGCTGATTGAAACCACATCATCTGCTTACACAAAGGTAAACACATGATCTAAACCAATATAGACGGATTTTGAAAGAAAAGTTTAAGGAGGCTTTAGTTTTTGACCAAAACTAATAATATTAAAGCGTCATCATAAGTGTACAGATGTAATTTTGTCAGCATTCAATTAATTATTGATCATTTATTCTGAAGAATGATATTGCTGAGCACAATGGAGGCTATTACCTGTTTAATATACTCATCCTCCTTTTCCACAAAGGACTCCAAAACCTTAGCCACTTCAGCTTTAAACCTAGAAACAACCAAACAACCACAGGATCTTAAATAAAAACACGCAGTTCCTTCAGGTTAAATTGCTACTCGTGATGCTTACCTTTCAGTTTCCTCCTCAGTGATGAGGACTCTGTCTCTGAACTTAGGATCTGCTTTATTATCCCACCAGAACTTAAAGGTGTTGTTCTTGTGTTCTCGTCTGGAAAAAACATTTTTAAGATTTTTTTTAAACCACACTTTCTAACTAAGAACAGGAACCCCCTAAAGCTTGACTTACACATTTGAAAAACTAAAATTGAACCCTTTAAATTTATACAGTTAAAAGGAAAAGAGTGTTATATGATCCCGATGAACTCATGAAATAAATGGTATGAGGCTTACGTGGCCATGTGTTCCAATAAGCCTCCATGCATCACTGTCATGTTGTCGTCTGTGACGTCCCTTTCAACTTCAACAGCACAGCAGTAGCACCAGAACTTCTGCTTGTGCTGAGTGCAATCAAACTTCTCCACTTGGGGTTTTTTAAGGGTTCGTCGAGCTTCTTTGACCTGAGGGACGGCAAACAGAGCAACAAAGCAAATTAAGATTAGAATCTGAAAACAGGACATTTCTCCAACAATTTTTGTTTTAACTTAGGGAAAAATCTGTCGTTAAACTGGGCAGTGTTTTTTTTGTGTCAAAAAGGCTGCTGCATATTTCACGAGAGGAAAGAAGTTTGTTCCTGATCCCACAGCTGCAAGAATGAAACGACTGTTTTATTCTCACAACGACTTCGTGGAGATTTTTGCTGCTCATTCTCGATAAATCATCTGAGCAGAACTTTTATTCTTACAGGTTGTAGAACAATGGTTTGATTTGGATATCAAGCAGTTTTTGGGTTGGAAACTCCAGCCCTTTTGTCCAGGCGTACGAAATTCTGTACTATAAACTTTTACATAAAGGATACTTTTGAGGATCAACTGACCAAGGCAGTGAGAAAAGAAAATTGGATTATACATCTTCTCTGCCATTGCAGTGGTGTTTTCTATGACATAAGTTGATAGGATTTTCTATGTGCTCAGCACCTCAGTTTGTCATAAAGAGTGAAAACTATTTGTTCTTGTCATCTGGAGAAAGACAACATAAGTTTAAGTTCTTGATGCTCATGCAACAAGTAATAAAGAAAATACACACCAATAAATCAATGATACGAAATTAAGTCCATTTACATAACCTTAGGTATCATTTATTAGGTGCATGGATTAATGCAGTAGTTTAAATTAAATGTTTCACATATGAGCTAATTGAAATCATAAAAGGGTAAACTATGAGCAGTAGATTCCCTTTAGGATCTGGATAAAGAAGGTAACTTGGTAAACTACTAATGAAAACACCAGCTCAGATCTTTAAAGCTACATTTGTAATTTATTTATACATTTTTTTGTTTAACATAATCTATCTTTCCATCACTGGTCTAATTAATTAAAATGTACTGTAGCATAAATCTTGGAGAGATAAAGTTTACCATTTGAAAACTCTTATTTTGAAAAGTTCAAATTGATCAGCTCTAGTTAAGTTAAAATTAATTCCAAACAATAGATATTATTTAACTAAAACAAATCACTTCCAATATAAGGAAACTAGGGTTTAACTCTTAAAAGAAAGCAACTTAATGCTGTTAAATATCCTCTCAGTCGCAAATAAAGCAGTGAATTTTAGCTCTTTCACAAAATATACCGACAATGTTAATTTTATTAATGCCCTGATACATTCAGGAAATAAATAACTCCCAAAAACAAATAATTTGGGAGTGAATAAGACCAAAAAACATAAACAGAGTCACGCGCTGAGCAGCTAATGCTGCTAGCTAATATGTTTTGGTGTTGCTAGCGCAGTATTCGGTGACGTAGAGACTGAAAAATACATAAAACATTGGAAATAGAGCCCCATTAACACAATTTGTACATATTTACCTTTTCAGTAAATTTAAGAAGAACGACTCTGAGTCTGCTTTGGTGATTTTTTCCGAAGATGTGTTTCTTCTTCCCGCAGAAAGCTGTCTGGTTACATATAGGGCAAAAATATGCACCCATTAAGACTCTGTAAAAATCTCAGTATATAGTAAACTTTAAAGTCACAAAAAAATGAACAAAAATAGTGTAATTTAACATTGAAGCCGCCTGGCGTTGTTTCGCTTGACTTCTTCTTTCGCTGCTGGCGGTTAGCAAACAGGCGCCTGTTATATGTACTGCCGCCTGCTGGGCTTTTTGGAGAACTACATTTTTCACATTTTTCTAAAACTAATCCTGGTTAAAAGCTGTCAAATATAAAAGGTATACAGGAGTTTTTATGGTTTAACATACACGCATTTGAGAGGCCTTTTTTTTATTAAAGCCACAATCTTTACACTTTTCTAAGAAAATTAAGTAGGCTACTGTTTGGTGATTTTTCTTTTTATATTAGTTTTTATTCTTCCATTCCTTAGCTTCCAAAATACAGGTTTAATTCAGATAAATTAAATGATGAATTTCTTTGGAAGAGAGCAACATCAAAATAAATTTGAGTTTCCTTTAAGTATGAAGCTGCACTTTGAAAACATGAGTGCAGCTCTTCTTTTTATAAGCTTTTATTTAACTTTTTTTTTTCTATTGTCCCACAGCAGGTGAAATATATCTTCAACTACTTAAAGTTGAAGGTCAGCAATAGGTGGTAGAAACCAGATCGCTCAAGTGTTTACACTACAGACTGATAAACAGGAAGTTAGAGGGATTTAGGTATGGAAAAAAGTTCCTGTATGTTGATTCTGAAGGTGGTAGAGGACTCCACAAACTGACGTATCATGTTATCTTTATTTTTGTAGTGAAATAGTAATCAAGGAGGAAAAAAATAACAGAAATTTGTAAAGAAAGAAGGGCCAAAAGCACCACAAGCAAATTGTCAAACTAATTAAATCTTTCAATGATTATTTGTATATAAATGTATAAC